GCGCTTTTCCGCGTCGCGGTCGGCTCTGCAAAACCAGCGTTTCGCTCGAGACATCCTCGGCAAACTCTGCGGAGCAAGCGTTTCGCTCGAGACATCCTCAACGCACGAAAAAGTGGCCCGCACCCTGTGATTTATCGATCGGGATTTCAAAAACAAGCGTTTCGCCTGAGACATCCTCAAACATAATTTCGCCGGCCTCCTTCGACCTCAATATTTATCAGGGAAAATGTTTGCCGGCCTCTATGTTTGCATACTAAAAGAAAACCCTGGGCCTGAGCCCTTTCCGGGAAAAACCTCGGCGTCCTGCGAGGCCGAGGCAGACTCCGCATCCGACCCACCACGCCTGGACGCCTCGCCAGGAAGCTCGACACGCGCGAGGCCCTCGCGCAGCCAAGCCGAATGCCGCGAGGACCACCTCCAGATTGGCGTAGCCCGAGCTCGAAACAAGACTCGCTGGCAAGCTGCGCAAGGCTCAGCGTCAACCAGAATGGAAAGACTCGGGAGCCTCCACATCGTCAGCGCCGAGTGGCAGGGAGGCTTGGGGTCAGGTCCTTGGTAGAAGCACGGTAGTGCGGATGACGGCCGTTCTTGATCCGCCGGATCTGACTCTTGATGCCAGCGCTGGCGGGACGACCCTTACAGGTGTCGCGCGTCATTGGCCCAGGCCGAACGCACGCACAGTTGGTCCCGCAACGACAACGAAAAGTTAGCCATTGCCCGCGGTCTTTGGGGGGAACCGGAACTTGAGGGGGGCCATGAATGGCCTCTCACATAGCAAGCTGAGGGCGCCACTTCAGGCCAGAGAAACTGCAGCGAAACATCGACCTCCCCGCCCTCGCCGTCGTCACCGCCGACGCCACGGTCCAACCCTCCCCCATCCCCAGGGATTCCAGGCTGCAGCACGCTATCGGACTCGGGCACTTCCTGGGGCTCGGCTCGGGTCATTGGCCGATTCGCCCAAGCCCGACCGCGTCGGGCCGACCGTCTTTGGAACTGTCCAGCAGGAAGACTGCGAGATCCAACAGAGCCACGAATTGGCCAGCATGTTTCCAAGAAGCTCCGTGCTGCAGCGCCCCTGCTTTTGTATAGGTGTCAGCAGTCGCGTTGACCTTCTTTTCCCACCAAGTGGTCTTACCGCTGTCCACGTCAGCAACTGAGACGTGCGCCAATGTTGTGTGCGCCGTGTCGCACGCTTCGAAACTGCCCGAAAAGGGACTCCAAAAGTGTGCGCGAGCTCCTCCAGTGTGGCTGCCACTATTGGGCCCCTGGCCCCTGCTGGGGGACGTCCAAGGTAGACTGACAGTCCAAATCAAGCTCGAAAAGCTCGAAAGGTGGCATTCCCACGCGCGCGAGCATCATTATAGCGTTATCCCCCCCCATCCTCAGAGCCTTGACGCGGCCCCAAGTGCAGCGGGACAGGCCCGCAGGCCGCTGCCGCGACCCCTCCGAAGTGGCCCACCTGCATCAGAGCCCAACCCGCCCTGCTGACACCAGCTAGGCTACAGAACATCGCAGAGCCGTCTGAGAACATACAGCCTGTAAAAAAAATCGCAGGCCCGTTGACCCAGCGGCCCTCAACCTCTGGAAGCGCGTTAGGCACAAAAGCCACCGAGGACGGAACAACCCCTCGAGCAAACCTCTCCTGGACCCCTTCCCTGGCCCCCAAAGCCCGCCCCGCCCTCTCCCGCAGCCGCGGCGACGCGAGATCTCGCCGCCGAGCGGCGCGGGCTGAGCAGCTGCGATGCCCGTGCCACAAGGTGTCTCGCGCTGCTGCACACAGACGGCAGAAAGAAGACGGGCGATTGCCATGCGCACAGAGTCTAGCCTGGGGCAAATGTACGTGGCCCATCAGGCTCCTCAAGGAGGCCTGGCGCGCTTGTGATGAGGGGCCCACGTCCTGGATCTGCTGCGCGGCAGACCCCGGATCCCATCCCAAACAATCAAAAACGACGGCGCCTTCGGAACGTCGAGATTCCCAGGCGCGCCGTGGAGATCGAGAGCCTGCCGATCGGACCAACGAACCGATCCAGCCCGAACCGTGTCTCGCAGCGCCAGCGGCGCCATCTGATTTAAACTCCAGGTCTCTCCAATATCGCCCAGGACTCCGCAAAGCCCATGAAAGCCCAGCCAGCCCTGGCGCAGGACAGGCACGAGACATCAGCGGGCAAAGCCGCTCCCGCTCCTCTCCGAGAATGCTTGCGATCGGACATCCGGGTGATAACACAAGCCTTCGTGGCCCACGGTTCGCTGGGCTTCGGTCGCATGGCAATGAATCCTCTCCGTCCAAATCCGCAACAGCGCCCAGTCAGTCACCGCCACCTCGTTGTCCGCCAACCCCAGACATGCAGCGGCTTCCGTCGAGCCAGGGATAGTGCGAGAAGCTGGACTGGCGGCGTTCCTCCAGACTGCGCGCGACACCTGTCTGTCTGACTGGTTAAGACTGTACGCCGCCAGTGTCTACCGCGAGCATGGCCTTGAAGGCGTTCCTGCCAGCGTCGACGATGAGCTCCTCTAAGCGAAGACGTCGGAGAAAAGGTGATCGCTTGCCTTGCCCCCCGCTCTCGTCGGCAACAAGCCCCCCCGGCGTCGCTGCGAGATCAGGCCCGCCGACCAGCGGGAAAACCAGCCGCCCTTTCGGTCGGGGGAATCCGTTCCTGGACGGTGACCTTCAGCGCCGCATGGTCCGAATCGCCATGGTCGCAAAGCTCCTCGGGCGAGGAAACCAAAGCACCTCCGCGCGATAGCCGACGCGTCGCCCAAACTGGCACGGACGCCCATACCCTGTCAAAGAAGAATAACTTCCCAAAGACATTGCAGAGATGGATGGGATTATCTGAGGAAAGCTAAGCCAGAGCATCCAGAGAGGGCTTCCACCTGGCCGCGTGGCAGCGGGCACTGTTGCGCCCGTCAAGCGAAGTCCTCCTTCGAAGCTGTAGATGGACAAGATTTGGGCTCGAGGCGGAAGTCAGATTACCATCGACAACCAGCAAACGAGTTCGGGTGTCCTCTCTTGCCCATTCAATGTTCAGACGCAGAACAAATGCGATTGTAGACGTCTGCCTGCCAGCCAGTTCGCAGTTGTGGATGCAGCAACGGTGGAGCTCAACTTCCCCAGCTCGCGCAGTAACTTCGAGCGCGTGCCCCCCTAGCAAATACCGCAGCGCGCATTGCTGCGGGCCTCGTTCGACAAAGGGAGAGACACCGGAAATTACACTGAAAGCATGCTTCGATCTGCCCCTTGGTTTGGTGCGCTTCCTGGATCGCCATGGGCGCGCGCCCCAGCTCGCGCTTTCCTTTCTCCGGCGCCATCGACCCGCGCCGCCGAAGTTGGGCGCGAGCATTCCCAGGGCCAAAAGTCAGCGTGGGCAGGGAAGACCTCGAAGAAGAACGGGGGCCCAAGATCGCGCTATGCTGCAATGCCAGGAAATTATCAAAGACGCCACTCGGGCAGCGCATCTGGAGAAATGGTGAGCTCGATGCTCTGGGCGATCCGCTGCCTCGACAGCTGCTTTTCCGCCAGTCCTTTGTCGCGCCAGTAGACCGCGGTAGGCTGGCGACCAGCACACGGGGACAATCGCAGCTGTGGCGCCCAGCACTCAGATCACAACCCACTGCTGCTCTCGAAGAGAAGCCTTTTTTGTCCTGGAACTCGCTGCGGAGCTTGCTGACGTACTTCTTGCCGTGGATATCCCTGCGAATCCGCAGGGGCGACGTGCCGGGCCTGACGTGGTGTTGCGCGGTGAGCCCCCCACCGACGGGGCGGGAAGTCTCGCCCAGCGTTCTTTAACTTTGAGTGTTTGCTGCACCCGTCTTGATGCCACTGCCACAGGACCAGTGAACCGTACGATGATGAGCTTCGACTTGGGCCTGACAGGTTCGACCTCGAACGTGCCCTCGAGGATTTCACTTTTGAGCCAGGTGTCCAACGATTGCGCGGCAATCTCCCTCTGGACAAGCTCGGGCGCGGTGACATAAGGATGCTAGTGTCGCTGTCGCGCGTGAAGGAGTGGTCGTTCGGCTTGGGTGGTGGTGGAGCACGCTGAGCAAAAGCCAAGTCCTTGCGAATATCTTGCATCTGCTTCTGGAGGTCGAAAAGTAGTGTTGTTGCAACGTGGCCCTATGCTCGCCCAGGCGATGTCCAGAATCGTCAATAAGTTTCTGTGGCGTCGCTGAGCTGCTTGATGGCGAGGTCAACGGGGGCGACAGCTGCGGTTTCAGCACCCCTGGCAGAGATGGCAAAATTTCCCCAAGCGTTGCACGTGGGCTCTGACAAGCTCCGTGACTTGGCTGTCATGCCAGTCGCCGTCCTGAACATCATCCCCATCAGTGCAACCAGCAACACATTCGGACACAGAACGAACGTCATCTTCATCAGCAAAACCAGCGCGGCCTTGCAGGACTTCGGACGGTTGTGGCGCGCTTTGAATGATGCGGCCTCCAGACGTCTTCTCATTCTTCTGACGCGGAGCTGCATCTGCTATGTTGACGCAGAAAAGTATCAAGCACCCACAAGACGATAGCGAACACGACCTGCCACCAAGAACACTGCCCGGGATGAGGTATCCCGAGCCTTGAACAGGAGTACAATGAGCGAAAGGCCCTGGCAGTCTGCACTGCCACAGAAGTAAGCAGGCAAACGCTGAGAACAAGCCGCGGGCCAGCAGTATCCACTTGGCCCCCCCCCGGAAACCAACAGCTTGAGCCAAAACGGCTACGCAGGAGGAGGCGGAGGCAGGAGGCTGAAGGGGGGGGGCGGAGGGAAAAAAATCGCTTGCGCACCTCGGAGAAAATCTGTTCCCGGACCCCTCTCGGGGTCCACACGCACCAAATGTACAAACTGCATCCAACCGTGGCGACGAGGCCCCCCCCCGTCGAAGGCCGACTGCCGCTGTCTCCATTCGCTCTCCTCCGAGTGCCAGTGCCGCGCGCCTTTCGCCCATGCAGCTTGGCCATGGCCCTGACTGCTTCGTCGAAGGTCTTGTAAATAAGGTTCCCATACATTACCTGGGGGCGGTCCCGAGCGCGGCAGCGTGAGAGCCCCCCGTTGCCCCTGTCGTGTGCGGTCTGGTCCCCATTCCCCCCTTCCTCCCCTCCTTTCTCTCCTTCTCACCCTCCTCTCTCTCCTCCTCTCTCTCCTCTCTCGCTCTCTCTCTCTCTCTCTTTCCCTCTCTCTCTCTCGCTCACTCTCTCCCTCTATACGTCGGTTGGAAGAAGTGGGTAAAATCATGAAGGAGGAAGGCGTGGGAAGTAGATTGGGCTTCCGTCCGCCCCATGAAGAGGAAGGGAAAAAGAAAACCACTCGATCCTTGAAGTAGGAAGGCGGCTAAAGTAGATTGGGATTTGGGCATCCAAAAATACATACTTTCAACGACCCCAACCGCCGCCGCCGTCGTCGACTTCCCCCTTCAGGGTCGGCGGCACCGGCCGTAAGGCCTTCGCAATCAACGCAGTGTGAAAGGATGGGTGGGAGGGGCAAGATGTCAAATATGGCGCGAGCGCGCCTAGCTTGCCCTCTCCCCCTCCCCCTCCCGCTCCCTCCCTCTCCCCCTCCCCCTCCCTTTCCCTCTCATGTTTGCCTTTCCCTGTATGTATATATATATATACACACATGTAAAGATGCCTCTCATTCTCTCCACATGCCTGAAGCCTGAAGTCTTTTCTGGTGTTCGCCCTCGTCTCTCCACCTCGGCGCCATTGAGCTCTCGGTGATGTGTGTGTGTGTGTCTGTGTCTGTGTCTGTGTCTGTGTGTGTGTGTGTCTGTGTCCGTGTATGTGTCTGTGTCTGTGCAGACGCTTCGGTTTCGCCTTCCGTTTACGCTGAATCTCACACCCGCGTCGTTTCGAGGTGAAAACCGCCCCCCCCGAGTATCCTCGCTCTGGGGTGGGGTAGGAGAGAGGATGAAAGAAAGGCACAAACACGGAGTCGTCGCCAACCCTTCCGGTTCCAATACATCTGCTTCTCATCCTCCTATTCCTCATATTCCTCATCCCCCTCCTCCTTGTCCTCCTCGTCCCCCTCCTCCTCAGCCTCACTTTCTCCTCGCATTCTTCCACCATTCGCAACTAACCCGTCCAAAACATGTCAACGCCTTAGCGGATGTGGGATCACTCGTATGAGATAGTCGTATCCGCCGACCCCCTGGGGGCCAACAGGCTGCGAGGATGAGGTTTCCTGCAACCTGTGCCAATTCCAGCCAGCGAATGCCTCCGACTGTAAATTGTTACTGTCCGCGCGAGGGTGGGGGGACAAGAACCGCCGTCTCATCACCGCCCCCTGGGGTTCTCAGAGTTCCCCAGGACACTCAATTACCCTGGCGACGTACCCAACCTCTGCGCAATGCGGGGCATGAGTAGCTTGGGACACGTTATAGGGAGGTGATGACGTAACATGGGCGCGTATACTTCTGCGAACGGCATTCGTGAGGCTCGCATCCCCCCAGGAATTGCGAGGTCCCGCTCAGATCTGCGTGGTGCCTCACTCCGCTGGACCCGCCACCAGCCTTCGAAAGTAGCGACGGTTTCGCAGATCGCAGCCCCCCAAGGACGGCGAAATACCGCTCAGATCTGCGCGGTGCCAGTTTCGCAGATCGCCATGCTGGCCCCCCAAACAGCCCTCGAACATGGCGACAATTTCGCAAATCGCAGCCCCCAGGGATGACTCGGTCTACTGTGGATCTGCGGCGGCTACCCACTTTAGCTGGCCCCCCAAGCAGCCCTCGAAAGTGGCGACAACTTCGCAAATCGCAGCCCCCCCCAAAATGGCGAGGTCTACGTTGGATCTGCGGCGGCTATCCGCTATGCTGGCCCCTCAAGCAGCCTTCGAAAGTGGCGACAGTGTCGCAAATCGCAGCCCCCCCAAGGATGACGAGGTCTAATTTGGATCCGCGGCGGCTGCCCGCTATGCTGCCCCCACAGCAGATCTCGAAAGTGGCGACAAGGTCGCAAGTCGCAGCCCCCAAGCGATGGCGAGGTCTGATTTGGATCTGCGGAGGCTACCACCCACTATGCTGCCCCCCACAAGTAGCCCTCGAAAGTGGCGACAGTGTCGCGAATCGCAGCCCCCCCCCCCCCAAGGATGGCGAGGTCTAACTTGGATCTGCGGCGGCTACCCGCTATGCTGCCCCCCAAGCAGCCTTCGTACGCGACAATGTCGCAAGTCGCAGCCCCCCAGCGATGGCGAGGTCTGATTTGGATCTGCGGCGGCTACTACCCACTATGCTGCCCCCTCCCAGCAGCCCTCAAAAGTGGCGACAGATTCACACATCGCGGCCCCCAGGGATGGCGAGGTCTAATGTGGGTCCGCAGCGGCTACACACTATGCGGTTCCCCCCAGCAGCCCTCGAAAGTGGCGACAATGTCGCAAGTCGCAGCCCCCCAAGGATGGCGAGGTCTAACTTGGATCCGCGGCGGCTACCCGCTATGCTGCCCCCCCAGCAGCTCTCGAAAGTGGCGACAGTTTCACACATCGCAGCCCCCCAGGGATGGCGAGGTCTAATTTGGATCTGCGGCGGCTGCCCACTATGCTGTCCCCCCCCAGCAGCCCTCGAAAGTGGCGACAGTGTCGCAAATCGCAGCCCCCAAGGATGGCGAGGTCTAATGTGGGTCCGCGGCGGCTACCACCCACTATGCTGCCCCCACAACTAGCACTCGAACGTGGCGACAGTGTCGCAAATCGCAGCACCCCAGGGATGGCGAGGTCTAATTTGGATCTGCGGCGGCTGCCCACTATGCTGTCCCCCACTAGCAACCTTCGAAAGTGGCGACAGTTTCACACATCGCAGCCCCCCAGGGATGCCGAGGTCTAATTTGGGTCCGCGGCAGCTACCCACTATGCTGGCCCCCCCAGCAGCTCTCGAAAGTGGCGCCAGTGTCGCAAGTCGCAGCCCCCCAGGGATGGCGAGGTCTAATTTGGGTCCGCAGCGGCTACCCACTATGCTGCCCCCCCCCCAGCAGCCCTCAAAAGTGGCGACAGTTTCACACATCGCAGCCCCCCAGGGATGCCGAGGTCTAATTTGGGTCCGCGGCGGCTACCCACTATGCTGTCCCTCCCAGCAGCCCTCGAAAGTGGCGACAGTTTCGCAAATCGCAGCCCCCCCCCAGGCAACATGCACACACAAGAGGTACTGCAGACAAGATGCACACACAATAGGTACACACACGGTGGGAGGCGGGAGGCGGGAGGAGGAGAAGGAGAAAACGCGACCGCAGTGCTCTATTCCAAACGAATACCCAAGAAGGAGGGTTTGGAAAAATACATCAGCCTCGCGCCCCCGAGGCCAGAATCGCTCGTGATTTATACCCGATGCGCGCCCCGGCGGCCACAAACCCTCGCGAATTACGTCAGATCGGCACCCCTGGGCAATAATCTTTGTTTTCTGAATTGCTAAGTTTGGGCCCCTTGGTCATGATCCCTTGTACAATACGCCAGACTGGCGGCCCTGAGGCAATGATCATCCATAGATGACGACAGGACTGCGCTCCCGAGGCCACGATGCCCTTTGATTTACGGCAGGCTCGCGCCCCCGAAACCATAATCCGTAGTACATTACGCAACGTGCGCACGCCTGTCGCTGCACATTTTGCCATGCGGCTGAACCAACCACGCAGCAGCAACCACAGCCTCGTCATGATGCCTGCCATCATCGGCCGAGGCGTAAAATTAAGTACGGAGGCCCAGGGCCCCAAGCAGGGTCAGAGACAGCGACAGGGTGCTTGCCAGCAAGTGTCAAGTTAGCACGGCGCTTGGCTCCCGCCTGAGAACTGGCGGACTTGGGCAATCCTTTGCAGGCTGCCCGCAGGTTCTTCGCACTGCCGCTAACAACCTGGTGCGCACCGCAAAGCTTGCAACTAAAAGCGGCGCCCCGGGACACAATGTCATGTCCGAGTCCCCCGAAAGAGGTCCTGAGCGCCACGAGCGGGGAGCGGGCATGCGGAAAAGGAAAAGCGACCTTCATCCCGTCAGGGAGGTCAGCAACATCACCTAGCTGAAACAAGTACGATCTGTCGTGAGGCAAAACGTCCTCAAGGGCAACGTTCGCGAAGGTATGAAAAGCCGGGGATCGCTGCTCCGTCGGCTGGCACGGATGGCAGACATAGTATCATACGTGCGAGCTGCGCGGGTACCCATACTGCAGCCTCGGTAACGAAACTCATTCCTCCAGAAACTCCAATTCAAATCTTTGTTAGGGCAGAAAGCGAGAGTGATGCAGGCGAGCAAGGGTTCAGACCGTTCTTTGACGAGGCGGGGAGGCGACTCGTGTTGAATCTGCTTCTCGATCTCAATTCGGTGGGCGACAGCCCAGGAAAATATCGAGCGACAATACTTGACTCGTTGATCGTATGTGTGTGATAGTCAGCCAGGTCTTGAGACACAGGAGTCGATCGGGCCCCCGCCTTCGCGAAAACGTCGGCCCCGGATTTGCTCAAGACCCCAAAAGGAAAGGAACGCGCTCCTGCAGGAGCGCATCTTCCAAGTCAGTGTGCGCGGGCACCCAAGCAAAAGAGGCCGGTTCGTTTCCCTTGTCTCTGCACAAATAAAAAACATGCGCCAGATATCCGTGTGCTTCGGCATCGCCCTCTCAAGGTGGGGCGACCATTCCAAGCCTTCGAAAACAAGCGACGCGAGATCTGACACGATAAGCTCCACCCCGCCGTTTCCTGAAAATTCTGCGCTGGACCATCAGCCGCGAGTCCTCGAAGATAGCGAGGACTGCAAGGACTCCAAAGACAATCCCAACCGAACCATCTTCCCAAGATGGCATCAAACAACCCCTAGAGAACGAAATTATAAATACATCTGGCAAGGCGTGCCGCTGGAACCCTGTAACAATTCACACGTCACATTATTGCGGATCTGCGGCTTTCAAAATGCCAGCGCGCGCGGGCTGTCTACGCCACGGCGAGCTAGAACGAAGGCGAAACGCGGTGCACTGCGTGCGGTTCCTACGAATACGTCGGTAAGTGCAGTGGGGCACGCCGCCCCAGGTGAAACGACTCTGACAACACGGGCGGACCCTGACAGCGCAGGCCCATAAAAAAACCCTCATAATACCTGCCAGCGGAACACGGAAGCGGCCCTGGCGGATTGGTGCGTAAATCTATAGATTGGCCAGATGCTTCAAGGAAATCAAGCAGGAAACATATCTACCAATCGAAACCACATTGAAACATATCTGTCCCCCCCCCCCGAACAAAAAAAACACGCCAGAATCAACAGAGATGATTGCCTGGAGGAAGGGGGGCAGGACCGCGAGCACCGGTGCTCCCACCTGGGAAACAACAGACGATCATCGGAGGGGGAACGGGGGCGACGACAGCGTCACGAGAACAATCTGCACCAACGCCGTGGCAGTGGAGCAACATCCCACACCGCACTGCAACTCGCCACCCCCCGTGAATTTCCCAAAAATCTCAATTGTCAGTCGAATGCAGCTCGGGCGGGTGACACATAGGGGGTGCCCTAAAGGAGGGGTGAAGAAGAAGGCCCTAAAGGGGCCCCGCCAGGCTCCTTTTGGAGCCAGCTGGTGCCCAAAAGGGGCCTTAAAGAACCCTCAGAGCCTTTCTCTTCACCCCCAATCAGTAGGTCACCTCCCATTACCACCTGTCCGACATCTGATCTAGTGCGGGCTCTGGTCTGATTAACAACACGCAGGGAACGCTCCAAGGAGACAGCACAGCGTTCCATAATTCGCTGGCCCAGCGGGCCAGACGTGCTAATATCTCCGGTGACTGCTTTAGAGTTTTCCAGTTCGCACGCGTGGGGCCGCCCCTGGGGTCCCCAGCCGACAAGTGCCCCGGCAAGGTCACGCCAGAGATGGTCTTTCTCCTGGGCGCCGCCCTCGGAACCCACCATAAGACCACCACAAAGTCCCAAGAGGAGCCAAGTGGCCCCGAAAAGGCCCCCACGATGGGTCAAGAGGCGTCCGGGACACCACAGGATCGCTCCAAGACGTCCAAGATGGCCCCCAGACGGCTCAATAGCTCTCCAAGAGTTCCACCCAGAGCACCCCCAAAGGCAAAAATCATAGATTTCCCTTGGGTTTTTGACAGATGTTGGCGTTCTCGCGGCTTCCCGACGCTCAATGACGACCGAAGAGGCTTCCAAGATCGCCCCAAACAGACCAAGAGGCACCCTGGAGGGCTCCAAGACGGCCCAAGAGAGCCCAAGATGGCTCAAGAGGCCTCCGAAAACTGACAAAGAGACCCCGATGAGGCTCCAAGAGGGCCCCAGGAGGCCCCAAGAGGCCCCCAAGATGGTCTAAGAAACGCCTGGGACACCATACGATCCAAGGCGCGCACGATGGCCTCCAGACGGCTCGAGAGCCATCCAAGAGCTCTCATCAGATGGCCCCGAAAAGCACAGATCATTGATTTTCTATTGGTTTTTGACAGATTTAGGCATTCTCGCCATTGCGGCTCCCCGACGCTCAAAGACAGCCTACGAGGCCTCCAAGATCGCCCCAAACAGCCAAAGAGGCATCCCGGAGGGCCCCCAAGACGCCCCAAGAGAGTCCAAGACGGCTCAAAAGGCCTCCGAAAATTGCCAAAGAGGCCCCGATGACGGCTCCAAGAGGTAGCCCAGACGGGGGACCCGAACGGACATTTCGAGCCCTCGGCCCCAAGAAGCCCCCAAAAGGCCGCCAGAGGCCCCCAAGAGGCCACCAAGATGGTCCAAGAAACGTCCGGGACACCATACGATCGCTCCAAGACGCGCAAGATGGCCTCCAGACGGCCCGAGAGCACTCTCCAAGAGCTCTCATCTCTCATCAGAGTGCCCCGAAAGGCAACAATTCATTGATTTCCTTAGGTCTTTTATATTTGGCATTCTCGTTTTTGCGACTTCCCGACACTTCAAGACGGCCTCCGAGGCCTCCAAGATCGCCTCAAGACGGCCCAATAGGCCCCCCAAGCGGGCTGCCAGGCAGCCCTCGAAGGCGTCAAGACAACCCTAGAAGCCTCCAAGACAGCCTTCCAGGGCCCCACAAACGCCCCAAGAGAGGGTCCAGAGGGGGAACACGAAACGATATTTCAAGCCTTCGCCCTTCAGATGCTCCCAGGAAGCCCCAAGAGATCCCGAAAAGGCCACAACAGGCCCCCAAGAGGCCCTCAGCGGCCCCCAAGGAGCCCCCCAGAGGCCCCTAATCGGCCACAGGAGGCCCCCCAAAGGCTCCCAAGAGTCAAGACTGCTCCCCAGGAGGTTAACCAAGTTATATATCCAACGCCCAAGCTCTACATCTCAACTGTCTGATGATGTTAAGACGAGCGTGCCAGAAAACTGCGCGCAGATTTCGCGACCCCTCCGATCTGGGATCGCGGGTGGTCCTAAGACGAAGCCAGGACGATGACGAGGAAGACAATACAGAGGAGGAATGAAGCGAGGACGATGACGAGGAAGAGAAGAAACAAGAGTCCTCGGAAATTCTCCTCTGCCTCCCAAAAGCCCCCGAGCCGCCTGCCAAGAAACCCCATTGAACCCCAGCAGCGCCGCATTGACAACGATCCCTCAGCCAAACGGCAGAGATGAGGCTGTATGGGCCGGCGGAATATGCGAAACGATTGAATAAGTCCCAAATCCAAGACGACCCGAAGGGGCCCCACGACCGTCCCAAGACAAGCAATGAGGCCCACAAGAGAGCCCAAAGACGGCTCAAGATGGCCCGAAGACGGCCCCAGGGGCCCCCCCAGACGGTCCAAGAGAGGCCCTCCTGGGCCCCAAGAGGGGCCCAGGAGGGCGAATACCGAACTGACAAGTCGAGCCTTCCCCCCAAAGTGTCTCCAAGCCCCCTAGAGGCCCCGAGGTGCCCCCAAGGGGCGCCAAGAGGCCTCCAGGAAGCCCCAACGATGCCCTCAAGAGGGCCCCCCAGAAGCTCCAAAAAGCCCCCCAGGTGTCACAAGCAGCCCTCCCAAGATGCCCTGAGAAGCATCCCCAGAGCCCCTCATATGCACGCGCCTCTGGACCCACTTGATTCCTTCCACGAATGCTGCAGGCTCTCATTGCATCTCCACGCTCCGTGGACGCCCCCGAGTGGCCGTCGCGAGACCCCGACAACGCCCCGAAGCGGTTCCCAGAAATATTCACGTTTGCCTCCCACAGTCTCGGAGACCAGCCATCCACATTTGCTAGGGTGAGACCGCGCGCGACAAGCTCGGCCCCAGCCTTCCCCAGTGATCTCTACTCTACAGTAGCCCCGAATCCTGTTCGAGCCACAAGCGACGAACGTGTTATCGCGTCTGCCAGACCAACAACACCTTCCGACATGGCTCCGAAGGCCCCAAGAGAACCGGCAAGGCCCCAAGAGAACCGAGATACGAGAGAATGTGTTTAGCCCCCAAGGCTCCGAATGACTTCCGCGATCGTGCATTACTCGTTGTCTTTTCAGGGGGTCGGCGGATTGGTGTAAGCAACTTGAGCAACTCCGAAATCTCAATATGTTTTGCTGATCGCCAGCCCTCTACGCATGTTCCCAGATTCCTTCAAGATGGCACCGAGACATTCCAATCTAGCTATGAAAAATTTGGTTATCATGGAAAGGGCCCGCAGCAGAGGGCGAACACTTTACTGATTTACACGAACCACTTAGCGTGAACAGAACAGGTACACGTTGGTGGCATGCTTGGCTGATTCAGGAGCTGACGAATTGCACCGTCGACACGGGCTCAGGCATGAGATAATGCATCAAGAGAACGGAACCGACGACCTCGCCACCAAAGTCCAAGCACGAACACTCTAGCACGTCCGATAACGATCACTCGGTGGAGATCTGGTGGTCTCCATCTCCTCACTCTTCCGTCTCACTCCTCCCTCCTCCTGCTCATCCTACTCCTCCTACTCCTCCTCCATTGCATCCCTTCCGTCCCTCCCTCCCCCTCCCTCCCTCAATCCCCGCAGCAACCACCCAAGAAAGGCAGCGTCTCCTCCTTATATCTCCACATACGAACGTGCACCACGTCTCCGAAACTGGCGCCGAGATCGGCGAGCTCATCCTCCGTGAAGTCCGTCGGGAGCCTCTCGATGCGCAGCCGTATCACCTCGCGGGAAACATGCACGAGCGGGGGGCACGTCGATGGGAAACAAACAAATCCGCCTCCTCCTCCTCATTCTCCTCCTCCTCCTCCTCCTTCTCCTGATCCTCATCGTCCTGCCCAGCCGCCGCCCCCTCCTCGTCCTCGTCGTCCTCCTCCTCCTCCTCCTCCTCCTCCTCTTCCTGCTCCTCTCTCGGTGCATGTCCTCCTCTCGCTTTTCCTCTCTCCTCCTCTCCTCAAGCGACTTTATGTGTCCGTTGATGGTGGGCATATGGAGATACACAAGATCGCGTTTAAAATGGGTCCGTCAAGAGAGGCACCAGCTCACGTCAAGGTATTGCGCACGACGAGCCGCGTGTTGCTATCACTCAGTGTTGCAGGAGCGTCGATTGCAATTAAGTATATGCTGCAGGACTGAAGGATACTAAGCTGGTTCAATGCATGGCAGGAGTAGCCATCTGTACGCAGCGCTTACGTCGAACAATTGGTTAAACACCTGCGAGGTAAGGCGTGTGCTTCGTGGACGCATGCTGAAAACCTGATCCAGCGCCTTGTCAACATTCAGCAGCGGAGATCGGCCGGGCATATGCTGAGTAGCGGCGACGCGCTTGAATCTCTCTTGGGGGGGCTCGGGCTGTAAGACGACGGTACAAGGGCAATGTACCAAGGCTGGCCACGCCCGATCGTGCAGCGGTGTCGTTTTTAAGTTATTCGTTCTCCTGCTAAGCAGGGAGACTTACCTTGGGGAGGTATGTTCAAAATGGCTCGCATCTTGGCGGTTAGAGTACCACCTTTCCAAGTATTGCTGTTGCATTTATGTAGCCTCCCTTCCCCCCCCATGCCCAGCCCGCGGGCGCGCCCGCATTCTGGGCACAGAGTTCGCCATCTCGGGCGTGTTCGTGGCGGGGGTGAGGCAGGAGGGAATAGTGTACGATCGCTCAAACTCGTGTGGTGCCATGTCGCTTATACCTCGGAAAATGTTTCGGTGTTTGGATCCCAGAGATGATCCTCGCCCCTTAGGGGCCTACTGGACCGTCGGACCGACATGGGTACGACGCTCGCACGGCAGCAAGGGCTTGACCCTTCCTTCGTGGACAACCGAGCCGATTCCCTCCTCCTCCTCCTCCTCCTCCTCCTCCTCCTCCTCCTCAGGCGCCGCTTGGACCTATGGCGGCCATGCATACGCGCCTACTGTACATCCTTTCCGCTGTCACTGTTGCGCACATCTTTTTTCCCCTTTCCCTGGAGTCTCTCCCGCATGTCATCTTCTCGACCTCTTAACTTTGTAGCGTACAATGTGTGTTCCCGTATTCAGCCAGGAAGGTGCCAGGATGTTTCACGAGAGTTCGGTACAAAGGACGTTGTGTTTGTGACGGGTACTAGGCTACGTAAGCGCGTGCACGACATACCCTGTATCAATGTGCCAGGCGAGAAGGTCCATATACTGTCGTGGGGATACGCGCGTGCACCATTCAGTAGTGTGCATGCAGGCGTACAAATACGACTACGCAAAGACATGTTTCGTATCCAACATATTGTGGATATTATTTCCCCCCAGCCACCTTACAAGGGAGGGTGGGCGCTGTGATCGTGAGAAGCGGACGATTTCATCTGTTATGCTGTGTCATGTACCTGCCGCCACGCCCCTCGGTACGACGTAATGAGGCTGCTTACCAGAGATGTGTGCGTGAAATACTTGGGTGGGTTGACAGTATCCGTGCACGACAACCCGCGCGTGTGTCCATTGTAATCGGTGGGGACTTCAATGACCATGCGGGCATCCCGCGAGACGGAGGTACCCCTGTAGATCCTGCTATGGATCCTGTTGGCCCTTTGCCGCCGCGCCAGGAGCACTTTGCGATGAAACAACTTCGTGAGCTCCTGGGGAAAGATGGGTTGTGCCTGCTAAACACGTTTGTGGGAGGCCATGATACGTACTACGGACATCGGGGCAGCACGCGTATTGATTATGTAGCGGCCCCGCGAAGCTGGCTTCGCTCGATTGCCCACTCGCGTATCCTTGAACGGAAGGGCCGCAAGCTGCAGATGGTGAATACCGCCCGACGGTGGGACCACTGGCCGTTACAAGTGCAGGTGTGGCATATTCTGGATTTCCCATCGGTACCATCCAAAAAAGAACATAGATGGGATCTGGATAGGCTTACAAAAGGAGTAATGGTGGGCAAAGATCGGGGGCTTTTTCTACGGGAAGTGGAGCGTGCATGTATGAACGACAAGAGTACATGGATGCAGCACGAGCACAATGATAGTCCTGATCATGCGTGGGGTTCACTGGTTAAGTGTGTGCAGGAGGTGGCGTATAAGTACTATGCACAGCGCACGAGTGATGATGTGACGGTACAGGAGGGTAGGGAGCAGCAACGAGAGTTACTGACCCGTCGAGCCAGCCTCAAAGAACAACTGGGGAACACGGAGGGTCATGACGAGGGTCGGACTGCTGAGCTGGCCAGGGTGTGTATTGAATTGAACAATGTAACGCGTGACCTTCGGAGGCATTCTAGAGAGGCCCGTGCTAAGCGTCTGGACTCCCTTGCCCAGCAAATCAAGGAGGCCTGGAGGAAGAGGGACCTTGCCCTTATTGCGAGGCTGTCGCGTCGCATGGCGATGACGGCAGTAGGACCAGGAAAGAGGTTCCACAATGTGCCGATGACGATCCGCCCCACGTGCGCGATGTGGACGGAGTTCTTAGGTCGCCATGGTAGGGAGAGAGGGCAGAGCTGCACTGCGATTGATATGCCACCGATCTTAGAAGTTCCAGCTGACCCAGGACCTGGCCTTGACCTCTATGACCCCGACTGGCGTGATGCATGTGAGAGAGAGAGAGAGACATTGCGGCAGTTAGAAGAGCTGTGCTCAAGATGAAACTTCGGAAGAGCTGCCCGCCTTGGAGTATCCCCCTTGAGGTCCTGCGCATGCTGCTTCATCCCAGCATGTTGTGTGCACGAGTGCGTCAATATCAACATGCTTTTAGCGCAACTCTGCCTGATACGCTTTGGTTCCACAGGCGTCTGTTTGGGGTCCTAAAAATGGTTCGTGGGATGGGGAAGTTACCACGGGATTGGAACCGCTCCTGGGCATGCCCGATACCGAAACCCTCAGGCAACACCGGTATGAAAGCCCTGCGTGTTGTGCACCGTATGTGTCACTCTAGCAAAGCATACACAAAAACTGTGACAGATAGGGGGGACTACTGCTACACTGACCGCGACTTATTGGACTGTCTGCATGGGGGACTGAGATGCAGGCGACGAGAGGCCGCTCTTACTATCCAACTTGCGACGGGCTGGCGCTTAGCAGCCCATGGGATTTCTCACGCAACGGTGTTCTACGATCAAACGAATGCATTTGGCAGCATTCGGTTGGAAGCACTCAACGACACTGAAATGATGCATGCTGCGCCTGAGGATGTATTCATCGGTGCCACGACCAATCATAATAGCTGTATTACGATTGATGCACAAGATGGGCCGTGTCACTTACTGGTTCATGAGGGTGTTCTCCAGGGGCACCAGAGTGCCCTCAGCAAGTACATCAGGACGTTTGCCCGAACAGTGCTTGCCCCATGGCTGCATCTACGTAGCCAAGAACCGACAGCCCAGGATTTAGTATGTCAGCACCCGTGGGATCCTGATGAGCGCCCGATCGATGTGAGCACCACTGTCTTTCTCGATGATGTAGCACACAAGTTGATAGCTAGTACTGCGCAGGGTTTAGCAGCAGGTGTACGCAGAGCGAGTGAGCAGTTCGATATGCAGTTGCACACAGTAGGAGGAGCTCAAAATCATGGGAAACAGGTGGTTGTGCCGCGTCTTGTGGGGCAGGGAGCACATGTCGAATCTCGTGAGCTGTCTGGTGGACTGTGCGTGCTTTCTGGTTCGGTTGCCACGACAACGACGTATCTGGGGGGACGGTTTAACCAGTTTTACCGTGTGGGCAAGCATAGGGAGGCTGCTATCCAGAGTATGAAACTTGCCTGGTATTCGATGGGGCGGTTTTGGTTCACTGACAAGGTCCCGAGGCATCTCCAGGTTCTGGTGTTTAGGGCGAGGGTCCAGTCTGCTGGCTTGTCTGGGATGGAGGCATACTGTGTCTCAGAAAAGGACTGCGAGCCGATTGATACTCTCCTGGTCAAATGGGGACGTACTTTGATGCATGGGGAGGGGACCTCAAAAACACCTCAACACGATGGGACCGTCAAGCATACTAGCCTGCCCCCGCGTGCTGTCTGGAAAGCTTTAAGAATGGTGCCGACATTTCTGGAACTCCGCATCCGCAGGCTTCAGTGGTGGCAATCGGTCGCGACGAACCCCCAGGACAATCGACAGCTGCTTGCAGCACTCTTTCGCCAGTTTAGGTTCGAGGAACAACCAACGATCCTGGATCACCGACGTATGATGACAGAAGATGGCGACTACCGCGGTAATCCCTGGGCTAGCCAGGTGGTGGGTGATCTGAAATCCATAGGGTCTGTCAAAGGAGGAGAGGAGCTTCTTTATGAATTGGAGGGCAAGGTACTGAAGGTCTTCACCCAAGAGTATGCCAGTCACTTTGAACAGCTCGATTTCTCACAACTTCGGAAGGCCTTCTGGAGCACTGGACCCACTTTGGAACCCTCAGAGCACGATCCTCCTCCTGCCCCTCCTCCAGCAGATGGGAGTGAATGCGGATTGCAATTCCACGACCAGCGGGGATGGTATGCTCATATGAGGTTTACGGAGGGGGGAACGCACGGACACAGAGCTATGTGCCAATTATTGACAGTTACAAAACAGTGCCCGTGGTGTATGACGACGTAACCGTCCCGTTGCGCGCCAACATGTCAGGAACCTGTTTTTGAAGCGGGTGTGTCATGCGGATCGACACCACTTCGTTCACAAAGTTGAGGAACCAACCAGTTATGTATGTCCAGCTTGTGGTGACGACTTCCAGAGCCTTTCGGCTCTGCAGGTGCATATACGGACTCACGTACAGCTGTCGGAAGAAGC